TTTACTACAGCATATCAGTTGAAAATTAGGGATGGCCAATTTGTTTCTGAAACAAAATATTTCCTTTCATCAATGCTGCTAGTCATTCTGCATACAATTATTTTTCATGGGCTTGACCCATACCATCAAGTTCATTACAGGATATCCATTTCAACCCTGTATTAAGGCTGCTGTGACCGAGTTTTAACACTTTTTTTTTATCCCAAATAATTGCCTAATCAAACATAAATAAAATTATTTAGTAATTTTTAAAAACAAAATCACATTAAAAGGCAAAATCAAGACTTCAAGTTAAACTTATTTCTCTAATTATTTAATTTGGTAAGTGAGAAATTATGACACGTGTAACATCATCCAGTTAGTGATATGATATTTTACTGCTGTTGATGAAGGTTAGTAATGAAATTTGTGCATGTTAGCTACATTAACCAAAGTTTGCAACTTGATGATATACAAGTATTTATTAACCAACTTTGCTGAGTAAAGTAAGGAAGAGCTGAGTATAAAAATTGGGGTTCAGACATTCTTCACATATGCACTATACATATTAAGCCGTACCAGTATGGTAACTATCCAATATCAAGGAAAACTGCCTGTCTCTATGCGGATGCATCTCATCCTAAACAAGCTGACCGATCCACACCAAACTTAGCAAGCTAACTTAGTAGTCCAAAAGCAAACCAAATTAATATTGAACTTTCCCATATATTGAAAAATTCAAATATTTTATGTAATAAACCCTATATCATTACTGCAATAGCCACTTTAAATAAATTACACACCACAATAACATTCTACAAGTCCAATACTGTAAATAAAATTTTCAGCATTTTGACTTATTTCCCATAATAACCAAAATATGCAGTAATAAAATATCCAGTTACAATGCAGATGATAAAGATATTGCTACTGTTTAAGTTTCCCACTCTTTCCTTAATCACACCACTTAATGTTAACATTTTCCTAAACTGAAAATGTGTTTCCAATAGATACTTACCCCCCACAAAAAGCTTTCTTGACTTATACTACCCTCTACTGGCACTAACCTTGATACTCCCACTTACCCTCAGATATGTTAACGAGAGATATCAGCATAATAACATGCAAATGATTATGCAGGAATCATCCACCAATAGGAGTGTGACACTACCCCTATTGTAACTAGTGCCCTCTCTAACCTTGCAGCTGTTAACCACTTCTAGATGGTTAAATCACACCAAACCACAGTGGAAGTGGGGAGAATGGGTGAGAAATGTGAGACTAGGTTAGGTTATATTGCCCTCTACTGGCACTAGCCTTGATACTCCCACTTACCCTCAGATATGTTAACGGAATATATCAGCATACTAACATGCAAATGATTATGCAGGAACCATCCACCAATAGGAGTGTGACACTACCCCTATTGTAACTAGTGCCCTCTCTAACCTTGCAGCTGTTAACCACTTCTAGATTGGTCAAATCACACCAAACCACAGTGGAAGTGGGGGGAATGGGTGCGAAATGTGAGAAGAGGGAAGTGTCTATTGGAAATACATTTTCAGTTTAAGAAAAGGCTAACTTCTGATACGATATCTTACCTACACTTTCAAATAGCTAGTATCCCATATTGAACAGGTGGAGAGCTAGTGGGAAGTGCCCAAAGAAAGATCATGAGGTGTGAGAAGGAACTCAAAACAACACACCTGACTACCAGACTGCACCACTTTTGAGCCAGGTATACTCTTCAAATGGACAGAAAACAAAGGAGGGACCCCCAAGAAAAGTTATAGAAATAATGGGACTCCCCTTGTTATAGTGTGGCTAGGGCATGACAGACTATAAATGGGAGTTTGACCTCAACAAATACCTGGTGGAATCTGGAGTTGTACATCAGTTTCACAGTATTAAGAGGGTCCTCTACGTTTCACCTCAAGAATGGGTACAAGCAGGGAAGAGGAGTTTCTGTACCAAGAACTTGCCTTTGCAGGCATGCACCTCCAACACAACCAACACCAGATCCACCAGGAATCTACATCTGGCAGATGGAAGGAAGGTGGAGGGCCCAGGTGAGTGTACATCTCCAGTCCAAAACCTGGTGGCATTGGGAATTTTTTGTCCAGTCTGAGGTAGGAGTAGAGGAACCAACCTTACACCTGCTGGAGTTCATGTGTCTCCTCCAGCTAAAATTAGATCCACTGGGAACTGACATCCAGTAGATGGTAGGAAAAGAAACAGCAATATGGGGTGCATCTCCAGTCCAAAACCTGGTGGCATTGGGAATTTATCATCCAGTCTGCAGTAGGAGGAGGGTAGCCATCCAAACACATACGAAGACTTATGTGGCTGGTCCAGCTCCAACAAACACCTGATTCCTCGGAACTGACATCTGGTGGACAATAGGAAGGAGGATGTTTCAGCTGGAGGGACACACTGCAATATATATATATCAGAGTGCTACATCCAACACCTGACTGGAATTATATATCAGGTTAACAGTATGAAGGGCATCACACCATCTACACCAGCAGAATGTCACCACCCTACTCTCAACTGAGTGGTATTGCACACACTCAGCAGGACAGGTCTCCATGGTCCATTACCCCAACAGCTAGGAACTGGTAAGTGACAAGGACCCCCATACTCCACTAGAAGAAAGAGAGAAATAATGCATTGGCGAACTTGGAGGGCGGCAGCAGCAGAGACAGTGCAATGAGTGACTACAATACCCTATTTTGAAAAGCAGAGTGATCATGTTGACAGAGTGCATCATCCAACACCTGGTGGCATCTGGAATTGTACATCACGTTCATGGTAGGATGAGCATCAAAAGCCACAGATCATCAGCAATGGGCAGTGATCCTTGTCTGCTTTATTCATGTTAGTCCATGAGTGTACAGTTTGGGATGAATATATTTATGAAGCAAAAGACTGTGAAGTATACCTATGAATGGTTCTGTGGAACACACCATCTCAATGGTGGGTGTAATGTAACCTGAATAAATCTACAAAGGTGTATCATCATTGGTATATGTAAGCTCAAAGAAGACTGGTAGATATTGAACAGTTGAAAAGTTTTCTATGTTGCCACTTCTGTACCAAGTCAATTTTTATAGCATTCTTTGCACATTCTTGCACTTACACATGTATAACACAAGGTTTCATGAGATTTGATATGCTTATATGCATATTGATAAGCCAAAGTTTTAACCCACCAGTTTTACTGTTAAAATGGCAGTTTATCTAATTGCACTATCAACAATATTTGGGTCTATTAAGTTTTCTTAATGATCCTTTTTGAAATACTACAAAAATTAAAGTTTCACAGAATACTTTAACACAGTGGTTCTTTACCTTTTTTGGTTAGGAGCCATTCATAAACGTCGATGGCCAGTCACGACCCAGTAATTAGCTTTAGTGCAGAAAATCTATGGCTTACTAAGTACTTTCAAAATAAATAAATTATTATCTATTTTTACACTCAGTTCGTGAACCTTTAACACATATTCTGATGATCCAATTTTGGGTTGCAACCCATGGGTTGAGAAATGCTGACATAACAGTTTAAACCACTAATTAGCTTTAGCCACTACAAAAATATGATATTCTTTCTGTCATGTCCAAAAGCTCAATTTCACAGAGGATTTTTAAACAACAGAAATTGAAGTAGAAGGTTTAGATAAGGTAAAAAATGTACAATTTCTATTTGGAAGGTGTATATACATAGTTTTGATAGAACGTAAGTGACAAATCCTGTGAACATTTCCACATAAAACACAAATTATGAAAAATGTACTAATATGGTTTTGACACAACAGTGATATGTAAATGTTATTGAAAGGCTGTTACAAAATTTCTTAAAACAAAGAATTATATCATCAAATAGAAATAAAATTATTCAGTAATAGTGCTTATCATGCCATTATGAGTGTAAGTTGACTGATCTCTTTTTAATTCATGATCATTTGTTTAAAACTTTTTGCACAAAACTAGGCTGTCTATGCAAAGCTCTTCATAATTTTTAAGTAATAGACTAGCGAGAAGGTAGCTAGTGAACAGTTAGCATCGATTGGCAATTCTTGGGCTGCTCTTATCTGACTGACTAGTGAATTTTACTGTCATTCATACTTTGGGTACACATGCTAAACAGTATTGATCTGGCTCTTAGGTCAATTGAGATATGAATTTTAAAGTAAAGATTGGTAATTCTTTTTTGAATTTTTGTTAAGTATAAAAATCTAATGCTGGACAACAATTTCAATCATGACAGTAATACCTTTCGTTTAAAAATAAAATGTAGAGAGAACTATATGTGTTAATTGAGATGAGTAATAATCTTTACTGGAGGGTTTAACAGGTTTGTACGTACCAGGGGAAAATGAGATATTACCTAATTACATGTATACATTATAGTAATTTATTGTGTATTAAAGAACATTATTGTGGCTAAAATTCTGATCAAATACAGTACCAGTTGTATTTTATATCCAAGCCTGGTTGCAAAACATAAAAATTCACAGTTTTTTTCTATTCAAAATATTTACTGTTATGTTCTAAAACTAAAACTGTGTCAGTCATGTTGTGCTACAATATACAGTTCAATACCTCCTGAAAATTTGTGTCTAAATGTACTACTTAACACAACAAACAAATTTAATCAAACAGTTAGAGGTTGTGGAGAAAATATTAAAGGTTATCTTGAATGATATTTGACCAATAAATAAATCATAACTTTACTGGTTAACTGTATCTATAATTACATAGTTAGGAGTATTGGAGGAGAATGGAAAATACCTGATAGAGTTTGAGATTTAATAATCTGTTAAAAATGGGAATGAAAATTACATATATATATTCTAGTATGACCTTGTATATTTTTAAAGGAAAATTAATGCTTTGTGAAGAAATACACTTAAATTTTTATCTGAGAAGTTATTTAGCATACAATGTCATTAAAAAAAACCTTTGATGCCAAATATTCTTTAATGCACTTCAAGTAAAATTGTAATTTCAGGCTATACCTATAAGATCAACATTCTTCACAAGCCCCTCCTTTTTCTTGTCAATCAGTTCACATTTTCGTGCAATATCTCTCCATTTCAATACAACATACTTGTTTAAAAGTGCTTCATTTTCAGAGTTTTTGATATTCGATATTACTTGTTGCGTCCTATGACTTTTTGCATTGGTGTCCTAGAAATAAAGTAAAAAAAATAAGTACTTTTTCAAAAGTATCTTCATGAACTTTTATAAGCCAACGTATTTATAATATTTAACAATGCATAAACCAAAAAAAATTAAATAAATCTAATCATTGTTACCTTTACTGCTAGATACTAAGTAGTTTATATCATGCGACTTAGCTTCGTATCTGCTGCCATTTTAAGGGAAGTCCTGAGATGGACTGTTGTTTTGTGATGGTTAGTGCTGGGACTGGGTTCTTGGTTTTATTGTTAGAAAGAATGGTGTTCTATCTACTTGTTTGGGTTTTAAATGAATAAACTATTTGAATGGTTTTAGGAGGAGTAATCAGGTTAGTCAACAAGTTCTGGTGATGAACAAAAGGACTCCTGGCCAGTGACTTGTGGTAGACAATAGATAAGTTAAAAATGCTGCTTTCACACATTTCTGATTTAAAATCCATAATATACAAAGTAAGAGGAATGTGAGAAAAATTTGTATGCAGTGTCAGATGATTTTTTTCATGATCATTAAGTCTGTTGATTTCCAAAATTTCTTCATCTTTCTATAATAAAATTGTAGCAATTCATCCATTCAAAAATTAAAAAAGGGCAATATTTTAGTTGCTTAAGTCTTAGTGATGTTATTATTTTTGTAACAATAAAACAAAATGTGTTTGTTATGGGATATATACATTTCTCACAAAATATAATAGAAAAACTTACTTTGATATTAGGTGAGCCAGAAGGAGGTCGCACTTGAGAGTCTCCTCGAAATGCATCAGATAATGGTGAAGTGTAACCTGCATCAAATGCTTTTTTAGATGGTGAGTCATAATTACCTATTCTCTCAGTCCACCCTAAATGAATAGGGCTTGGTAGCTTGGGCTGAGTTTTCTGCTCAATAAATCCTCTGGACTTTTGTAATTTTGCATGACCAAATTGTAGATTTGATGCTGAAGCTGACCGTGTTAAATTTTGGGGGGTGAGAGATTTTTTTATGTAAGGAACTGCAGAACTAGGCCTTGTAGGTGCTTTATTTCCTTCAATACTCAAATGTTCAAAATGTTGTCTTTCATTGTTAGGAGAAGCTGTACGAGGTCGAAATGGTAAAATGTTTTGTTTCAGAGCTAAAGATGTTGGTTTATTTTCTTGTGACAAATTTTCTTTACTACTCTGTTGAGTGGCTGTACTTCTTCGAGAAGTAAAGGGAGACAGTATTCTTGAGGTTACAGAGCAATTTGTCCCTGGATCTTGGCTGACACCAGAATGCTCTAATGGAGTAACTGTTGGAATTTTAATGTCAGATTTTGTTTTATATTCATCAAGAAACTGCACATACTTTAAATTATCAAATTCATTTTTTGGTAGCGTTTTCCAGAGCTGCTCAAACTGTGACATAGAAGAAATAAACAAATAGAATAAATCAGCAACACATAGAAATATTAAAACCTTTGTTATTTTTCTATGCTACTTATGTCTTTCTTCAGGGCCATTTTGAACATTTATCACTTCACTAATTGAACTCAGAAATGCAACTAATAAATTATTTTTACAAACCTTAAAATTAAAATAATGAGGTAGAAAAAAATGGAGAGGTAGATAATAATTAATAGTCAAATAAGTACTTTAAAGTAAATACATTGGGAAAATTCAGATAAATAGAATTTTTCAGTATGACCAAGTTATATTAGACTATATCATATTCATAACTATAACTCTGTAGTACTAATGATGAATTCAGGTTAATTTCTTGAGATTATTTTTCAATACCTAAATATGTTAATAAGAAAGTTAGTAGGATAATCCAGCAATGTTTAAATACTTGTTTAATTTAACATCATTAAAGAGATTTAAGATGTTTTATAAACACTAGAAAAAAAAGAAACTTGATGTTCTCTTGACTTTAAGTAGTTGGAATATACAATTCTAATAAAATATTATTTCAGTTACTTGTTTTTCTGTGAGACGAAGGGCATATTTATTCAAAAGCAATCGGACATCATCCTTGTGAGCAATTCCAGCTTTGCAGTAATCAATGTCTTCAAAATCCTTTAATAAAGCCTCATGTTGACTGCATACAGCTTCTCTCAGGTATGTTTCCACTTCTTTAGATGTTAAGGAAGACCCTACTGCACTTTTATATGGTACCAATCGGTTAACTGTTCTAACCCACTTTTCTGTGTCCTATATTTAGAATTTAAAAAAACTGTATAGAACATCTTAAAAACCTTAAAGATATCATAAACATTTAATTTTTCAAAACAGGAGCTGTCTAAAGTTATTAAATACTACTGATATTTTCCAGTAGTTTATGGACTGTTAAATCTTTATTTTATGTACATGTTGCATTGCAGCAACAATACATTTCTGTAATAAAATAAACCTGAAAATGAGAAAGTCTCATTCCAGTATGCCTTCTATTAACCAAAATTTAACATCGATGTGACAGTCAGAAAGATATACTTCTTAAACTGACAATCACAAATAACATCATTATAGCTACTTACAAGAATAAATAAAATCTCCCAGTGTTTCTAACTGCCAAAAGAATGACATAGGTTTAGAATTGTGTAAAATACTAGCAATTATCTTTTAAGATTTTGCTGAACATGTATAAATATGCCCATATAAAAATATATGAACCTTTTATAATTTTTCATCTTATGTGTGTTTACAATTTTAAAAATATTAATTCATTTCTCTAAAGTAAATCATAGACAAAATGAAGATTATACATTGTGGAACAGTATGATCATATCTTAGATTATATTATGATAACTACTTTAATTATTTAATTTGCTAAAACAAAACTAAACATTATCTATGAAAAATAACTGAAAACGTAATATTTTCTAAGCAACAGCATTTACTATAACAGTTAAATCTATTGAAAAATTAAGTAAAACAGCTTTTTGTTGACTTTTTGAAAATTATTCACAACCATATTTAGTAAACTGAATATAAAATTTACCTCACATGCTTTTTGTTTATATACATCTAAAATATTCTGGTATTGAACTGTGTCTTTGTACACACTGAAATCTGAAAGAATATCTTTGTACTGTTGTTCAGTTAAGAGAAAACAAAATGTTTCTAAAATGTGGTGGAGCTGACCAGTTGTCAGTTGTCCAGTTTGATTCCAATCACAAGCTTTGAAAGCCTGAAAAAACATTAGACATAAAATTATGGTGTCAGTTTAATGCCAAAACAAACTTTTGGATATAATTTGCATAGGATCTTCTGTTTGTTAATTGATCACTTATGTTTTGTATTTTATACAGAATAATAAAACATCACTGAAGAACCAAAATATTATAAAGAAAGTTCTTTCTAAAAAATGACAAAAACTAAATATATAGGTAGGAAAACCTAAAAGTCAATATTTGACTGGCTAACTTGATAATGATATACATGTATGTTATTTATTAAGCCAAAAAGTAATAGCTGAGATAAGGATTGTAACTGAAAACGTTGTGTGTGTGTGCCTTTTAAAAGAAAACTGAGTAAGGATGAAATTTTTGAGCTTAAAAAACACTTATAGTATTTGCTTTAAAGTACTTGATGAACTTATACTGTTACAGATAGCTTTCTTTATAACTTTCAACAACAAATGTTTTATTATAATTGTGTTTGATTACTTATTAGTTAAGGCTGTAAAATTTAAATTTCATACTTATTTTAAAATATGTTACAGTCTTATCCTTTACGTTATAAAGAAGTTAGTCCAAAAGAACAACCTGAGTTTATAGAACCATATCACATATAATTTGCATTATGGATTTTATTAATTATGATAAATACGTTTTTTTTTAAATACAAATATTATGTCAATGAATGTAATTTGGAGCATAAATTACCATTAAAAATTTCATATAAAATTGATTTTTATTAGATTAAATACAAAAACAAATTAAACTTCTTTACACTGCACATAACATGAATAAATTAACTCAAAATTTTATTAAAAAAAAGTAGGTTGTTTTGTATGTTCAATGTTGCAGAGGAACTAGGCAAGTAATTTATTTTTCTCAGTTTATATTTCATAAAAACTAATAAATAATAGTTTAATAATATAAAGTGATGAACTATGTTTTTCAAAACCCAAACTAAAGTCATTGGTGCAAGGCTGAGAAAGGTATTGTTCATTTGAGGGAATAGGTGACACATTCTAAAATGATCCCTTGCAGTTTTAAGCATTTCTCAGGGTTAGTGACCTTTACATAGGTAGGTATCAATTACTGGAAAGTTAACATTTTTCTACACTGAAGACCAGTCTTTGGAAGGCACCTGAAGACAACACATGGAGTGAGATACCATAATGTATAGGGTCACACTTGTGGGAGACCACATCATATCTACACCAGGTACACTCTTTCTCCATTGTAATAATTATGTGTCGTTCAATACAGCAGAAAAGATCCCAGCATAATCAGTAATAGGATGCTCCAGATGTTGTATAGTGGCTAGGGCATGTCAGACCATAATCAGAGGGTCAACTCCATTCAAAAACCACATGGCATTGGGTATTTGTCGTCTGGTCCACAGTAGGAGGAGAGTCTCAACCATCTGCACTTCAAGCCCAGGAATCAGAAGGGAAAAGCAATTTCTGTTCTGACAATCCAGGCAGGGCACGTGTGTGCAGACCCAGTACACAACTAATACCAGGCCATCTGTGAAACTGACATCCGGGCAACTGTAGGAAGGGGAATTTAAATGTGATGGGTTAACTCCAGACCAAAACCAGGCAGTGTCAGGAATTTTTTGTGTGGTCTGTGGTAGGGGAAGGGTCCCTACCACCAACCACATATGTGAGGACGTATTGGCTGATCCTATGCTGATCCAACACCAGACTGCCCAGGAACCGGCATCCAGGCAGCAGTACAATGAGAGAAAGCCAGCCAGATGGGTGAATTGCATGTGGTAGATTCATTCAGTCTAAGACCAAGTGGCTTTGGGAATTTGTCTTCCAGTCCATGATAGAAGGAGAATACTCACTATCTAAACTGACAGAACACCACCACCCTACTCTCAACTGAGTGGAAGTGGTCACATTCAGGAGGAAGCTTCTATAGTTCAACATCTCAGTGGCTAGGAACTGGTAAGTGGCAAGGACTCCCATACTTTAATAGAAGAGGGAGGAATAATGTGTTAGAGAGTTCATAGGAATGAAACACCATAAGACAGTGCAATGGGGGACCATGAAAACCCTATTTTGAAAAGCAGGCCAGACTTGGTTTATTCAACTAGGATAAGAGGGATGGGCAGTGATCCCAACACTGCTTTATTCGTGATAGTCTGTGATTTGGTACGGGCCTTATTTATGAGGCAAGATACCATGAGGAACTATGCAGAGCTCTTGTAAAACACCCCATCTCATCAGTGAGTGTTATGGTTCTGTAGGGTTGTATGATACAGATTTAAAGTTAAGCATACCTAGAAGGCACCACTCGCCACTCAGTGAAATCCAGAGATGTAGAAATAGACCACTGTAAAGGTAAGATATATGAAAAGAGAACTTCTCTATTTATAGCCAGTAGAGTGTATGTAGTAGGATGACAGGAGGATGCTGCTATATGAAAGAAGAAAAGACAGCTAGAAGATGAAGAAAATGTGCAACAAAAGTAAGTGGGGTACACCACCATGAACTCCACCAACGAGTGTTGGAAATGAATAGCCAGAGAGAAAGTATAGTGTCATATTTGGTGAAGAGACTTGAAAGTGTCGATGTGATTCTATATCCAACAAAGCATAGGTTAAATGAATGAGGTGTTGTAGCCATCTCTGAACGGTAATAGGAGAAATATCTTGGGGAGATGAAGAATTTAAATTAATAAATAGATACAATAAAGCATAAAAATGAGCATGACAGGCCAAAGAACAGTAAACCATATGGATGGGAGAGAGAAAATGATTCAGAACGGAATGGGAATAATATTGAGAAATGGAAGGAAAAATATGGGAAGCAGCAACGGCATACACATCATATCTCTTATGGCCACAGGAAAAAAAAGTGAAGGATGGTACAGGGAACAACAGACTAAAGGGTAAAAGAGGGGTAGGGTAAGGGCATGGCGAAAAACTGCATGAAGAGGAGGACGAAAGAAGTTAAACTAACAAAAAAGCATAGAAACACAGGAAAGAAAAATGACAACAATAGAAAACCCTGAAAGTATTAGGTAGAACTGCCCATTAACTAGCCATGGTTGAAAGTGATTTGACTCGTTTGTACAGCAAATGAAAAATGGGACAAATGGGAAATAGAAGGAAGGGAATGGAAGAAAAACATGATGCATAGAGCAACTATGAAATATGTGCCCTTGTCATGGATTGATAAGGAACGAAGAAGAATGAACTGAACAGCAAAGAAGGAAGGCTACACATAAAGAGAGTCTGGGACATCTCACAAGGGACTGGACCATACCCATACATGAAGGCAGAGTGATGAAACTGATGGACAGGAGAGGGAGAAGTGAGACTGAAGGAATAAGGAAAATGACATAGGTAGAGGAGGAGAGGACAGGAGAAGGTGCAATAGAAGAAACCATGGCTGAGCTGGACAGTAAGGAGTTATCAAGAGGACTAAACAGGGAGTGTACATAATGAGGGAAATCATAAGGGGAAAAATGAGTAGGAAGGTAGGCATAGAGAAAAAGTTGGACC